CCTCAAAACTGACACGCCTACAGTGAATCTAACTCGGCCTTCAGAAGCCAGAATTTTGATAGAAAGGGATATTACTTTACCTTTTTCGGAAGAAATATGGATTGACACACCATATCAGGGTTTTTGGCAGCAAGCAGAACTTGAACAGATACCACTTTATTGTACTCACTGTCGTATGTTTGAACATTCTCCTTCTCAATGTTATCAGTTGCATCCAAATTTAAAACCTTCAAGTAAAAACGCTTCTGGATCTGCCCCACCTCATACCTGTCCCTCCTCCGCTCCTGAGTGCATTCCACAAACTAGTCACCTCCGCCTCCCACTACCGGAGGCAATACTCTCTCTGTTCTTCCGACTGATATATTGGCAGATGGTTTACTTGGGCCCAACAATCATGATAGTATTGAAGCTCCACATCCCCAGGATGCTTCAGGTGTTGAAGAGACATGCTTACCATCTCTTCAGAATCAGAATGTTATTACTGCTAGTCAGGAGCTGGGGGCTCATTCTCTCCTACATGCCCAACAATCTGTTGACCACACCGATCAGATGAGCTAATCCTCGGATGAGGAATAGCAGGTTTACATATCTAGAAAGAAAAAAAAGAATGAAGTCACACTCCAGCTTGGGAACTTAATGGATGATACTCTAGTAACTTCGGGTAATTGAACGACACTCAGCAATTCGTTAGTTGTCTCCGCTCCTAGAACCAGAGGCAGAGGCAAGACCAAGCTGGCTCGTGCCTAGCAGCTTATTTCATGCAAGTTTTGGTTTTTTTGTGTTTTAATTAAAGGGACTTACAACAAAGGTTGCACTCAATGAGTCAGGCGAAGACGCGCACACACACACACACACCACACACACACACACACACACACACACATATATATATATATATATCATTTGAGAGATTCAAAAACATCATGATAAGAAGGAAATAAATAAAACATATAATAATCGATAATTAAAAGAGAGTAGTTCTCCCCCTGAAATGTACCAGTTAGCCCACAGTTTCCTAAACCGTGAGCGGGCTCAGGTAGTCCATGGATGCATACATATCAACATGTATATTTATATGTGTGTGTGTGTGTAGATATTTATGTGTGTGTGTGTGCGCGCGCGTATTTATGCGTGTATTGTCCAAAATAATTTAAAACAACATATGGATTGATGAACATATCCATCATTGTTAGAACATTCTTACATGCATAGCTTGTGTAAGTGTCTCACATTCACAAACACCTAATCATGACTAAAAACAATGGCACAAAACACAATATATTATGTTACAATGAATAGAAGAGATTGAATAACTAATTGAAGTAACTAGCCTGCCAATCCAATCTTCCATAACATGGGGCATCACCTAGATTGCAAACAAAATTCTTGGCCACTCAAGGAATGAGAGAGTTTTATGTGTTAGGTTCCGAGTCAAATTTTGAGAAGCCGAATTAAGTTGCAAAGAAGACACTGCCCAGAGAATTTTCCATCATCTTACGAGGACTTTATGATCTGAAATTCGAGGTTTCCAACGGACGCAAACCCACATAGCTAAGTATCTCTTCCAAGAACAAGAGAGAGCTTTCAATTAAGGCTATTCGTTAGGCACTAAACATTTAGACTTAGCATAGAATTGCATTCGACTTTAGATTATGAACTTAATGATTATAAGCTTTAGAGCAGATGATGATAGTCGGATCAAGATTCAATGATCTTGTCGTTCCATATTGTCATGGACTCTGGTCTACTTAGTCAAAAGAGGAAGTTGTTCTAACATAATTGAATGATCCTTGTTGACAATCACGAGTTGCTTCCTAAAGGTGTCTTATAGATCTAAGGTGGATATTTTTGTTCTAGGCAATGGAAAGCAATCGAACCCAACACCTTGAGATTCTACACTTTGTTTCCAACTAATATACTATGTATTTGAGCACGATAAGATGGATGTTTGTCTAATGGAATAAAACTAAATTGACCGAAGCAAATAGGTGGTTTTGTATTATTTTGACGATGGTTGAAGCAATTTGGGGCTAATTTATGCGATGTTGCAATTGGTCCTTTTCATTTTCAACGTGCTCAATCAAATCAACCATTGAAGATACTTCTAATTTTGATGCTTTAGATGCATTTTGTAGTTGAGTGATATTAGAAGTTATATTAGAAAAAAATTTATTCTTATAAGAATTTATGAGGAATAAATTATTTCTTTAGATTAACGAGTTTTTTTTCTTTTCTATTTTATATTTATTTCGTTGGATTAGGAAATATTTCCTTTTCTATTTTAGACTTCCCTATTTTATGTTATTTCATTTATCTCCTTATAATTAATATGAATTGATTATTGAACATATTAGGTGATATATCTTTCCTTTTATATAATTTATTTTTTATTGACTTTTATATTTTAGGATTCATGTAAGGGTTATTTATAACACTTTTCTTATCAATAAAATGATTCTGTTTTATTCCACATTATTCTGAATTTCAACATGATATCAGAGTCTAATCCTAGATCTTAACCGCCGGTCCATCCTTCCAGAGTCGTCACTCCCTTCTTAACTCTTTGTAGGAAGAGAGGGACGCTTTCTCTCCCCATTCAAAAATATCACCAACAGCTCTGCTCACCAAACTCTCCGTCTATTGGAGTTTGGAGTGAATTTACTCTTTTTAGGCTCTCCTTATTGTGGACGCCTCTTACCCTATTTGTAGGTTTCAGAAAATCCCTTGTGATGTAGGAGAGGGAGTGGTAGCAGGACAGGTTGAGGATGGTGTGTTCTTGAAACAATGGGTTGCCCTCGTGGTTGAACACTGCATTGAGGATGGCTTTTGAATGGAGCGGCTAATGTGTCTAGGTCTAATCCTTCTTCGTCCGCTTCATTGTTGTCTTCGTCCCACGTCAATTGCAGGGCATCCAAGGACTCTAAAATGGGTTTCAGTGGTATTTTTTCCCTGCTGTTGGAGCTGTCGTTCTCTCAACTATCCTTATGAATCCTCTTAACGTTGCCAAGACGAAGCTACAGACACAAGCATCAGAAGCTTATTATTATCATTCGTAACAGAATTTTGGAAGACGGTTTGCTTCCCGTGGCCCTAATAAGATGCGTTAGAGTTTAAATGTTCTCCACCACGCACTCATGGTGGAATATTTGACGCATGTTTTCTGCAGCAATCTGGTTTCCTGGTTTCCAACATTCTGGCTTCCCTAATTTTCTGTTGGTCCCTATCGTCGGAGGTGCAACTTTTTATAGAGGTTCATCCCGGTGTTTTTTGGTGCATTCCCTGCAGTAGTCTGGCTTCCCTGATTTCCTGCATCCTTACAACAATAGTCCTCTCTTACCACTACTTTATATCCCAGTTGATGTCAGGCTTTTCGAGGGCGATCCCCTCAAGATTAACAATTCTGCTCTCACTGGCTTATCCCTTCTTGTGACTAAGAACCCTGGAGATAAGGTCTTCTCTGGTTCTACCTGCAAACAAAAGGAGCTTGAGGCAATAGTTTCCATTGGCATCCATACATTCTTTGGCAAGGTTGTCCACCTTGTTGACAAAACCAACCAAGTTGGCCAATTTTAGCAGATTCTCAATGCCATTGGGAATTTCTGCATCTGATCCATCGCCATTGGCATGCTTGTAGAGATTATAGTCATGTATCCTATCCAACATCGCAAGTACGGGGATGGGATTGACAACTTGCTTGTCCTCGTATTGGAGGCATCCCAATCGCCGTGCTCACTTCCTTGTCAGTCACTACGGCTATTGGATCTCATCTGAAATTACGAAAAGGATGACCGTCATGGTTGGGATGCTTGCAAAACCTAAAAAAGGCAAGGGTTGGCATCACTAAGGTCCACTTCCTTCCTTCTAATCTTGTTTACAAGAGGACAAATTTAGCTTACATTGATGCTCAAGGTCAGTGGCACCGTTTCAGCAAAGGTGCCTCCTGAACAAATACTTAGCCTATCCAATGCCATGGAGGATATTAAGAATAAGTTTCACAAATTTGTTGAACGCGGAGTTCGATCTCTTGCTGTTGCTATCCAAGATGTTCCTTTAGATTCTTTTTTGCAACAGGTCATCCTCCAGAGCTTTTCCTGCAGCAGATCCTTCTCCGAAGCTTCTCATGCAGTAGGCCCTCCACCAGAATTTTTCCTGCAACCGGCCCTCCTCCAGAGTCTTTTCCTACATCAGACTCTCCTCCAAAGCTTTTTCTGCATCAGGCATTTCTCCGGAGCCTTTTTCCTGCAGTTCTTTGCATACCTTGTAGTTTTTTCTTGCAGGTTGTCTACTTCTCTGCAAGCTCCCTTGCAACATTACTTCTAAGAGTATTTCACCTACCTACAGACACTGCATGATTACAATCAAAGACAATCATAGTCAACTAGAAGTCAGTCTTTTCCTACATGTTGTCTACTTTCCTGCAAACTTCCCTGCAGCATTACCTGTAGGTGTCTTTTGTCTACTTACAGATACTGCAAGAACTGCAGTCAAAGACAACCACAGTTACCTACTTCCCCTACAAACTCCCCTGCAACATTACTTTGCAGGAGTTTTCCATCTACCTACAGCACTATAGGAATTGCAGTCAAATACAACCGCAGTACGGGATGAAGACTTCAAGTTCTACTTCACAAGATCTCCCTCGCACATATTTGATGTTTTCAAATCCAAGTAGATCATGATTTTCAAACATGTTTCAACTTGAGAGGAAGTGTTAGAAGTTGTATTAGAAAATAATTTATTCTTGTGAGAAGTTATTTGGAATAAATTATTTCCTAAGATTAACGGGTTATTTCCTTATTTTATGAAAGTTATTTTCTTTCATTTCCTATTTTAGGCTTTCATATTTTATGTTATTTTTTTTATCTCTTAATAATTAACATAAATTGATTATTGGAGATATTATGTGATATATCTTTTCTTTCATATTATTTTTTTTTTTATTAACTTTTCTATTCTAGGATTCATGGAAGTGTTATTTATACCCCTTTCATATCAATAAAATAATTGTGTTTTATTTCACATTATTCTGAATTTCAATAAGTGATGATTTGATGATTTTATGAGATTTGCGTTATGCATCAACCATCATCCATCATTATCAATCATCTTTGATGTATTCGATCCCCATTGTGAAGTAGAGCGGGTATGGAGGTCAACATTAAACTGCAGACAAAATCAACCATTAAAATATATTAAACATTTTCATTAATTTCCTTATTAAATAAATGTTAAGAGTTTTAATTTTAAATATATTTTGTATAAATTAATAATTTTTAATATTAATTTTGATTACAATGACTAAATTTAATGTTTAAAATATTTAAAAATTAAATAATTCAATACAACGATAACTGATAATTAAATTACAATTAATCGATAATTAACTAATTTATATTTTATATGAGATAATTTGAAAGAAAAAGACGAGCAAACAGAACGTTTATTATTGAGGTGAGTACTTTTACTTCTACATTATGATAATAATATTAAATTTCTTCTAAATCACTTGTATTAGAATGTCATTAACTAAGATATCTTGTTACTGCAACTAAAATATGATTATTATGGTTTATTATTCAATTTGATCATCTAGAAATGAATATGAATGATTTGCATTAGTTATACTTATTTATTACACATGCATGTCATAAAAGAGAGATATTAAATGATATTTAGAATGCAAATAAAATGATTTATAGTATGCTTGCATGTGCATATTTGGTCATGATGGAGCATTCTTTGATGATACTCATGGGGAACACTAATGTACCCATGCACGTAATAGGAAATGATATTAATATTGAAGTACCTTAAGTGATATTAATTTTAAATGGTGCTCCTCTGATAGTTGTATGAACATGAAATGATATTGATATATATTTTTTGAATATCATGTTAAATGTTCATATTGATTTATAAAGAAGCTTAACTGACATGTATATTGTTTTTTTTCTTTGTATTGTTGTAGTTTAGGAATATGAGTATTCATTGGATTGTTTAGCTCATTGTTATTTTTAAACTTACTTTTCAAGTAAATTTTAGGTGATTTAAAAGATGAGTGATGAAAGAGAAATGTGTATAGAAAACGCGGACAACCATCAAAGAGATAAATTGAAATATATTGTTTTAATTAAATTGATTAGTGGGTTTTTCCCTTTGATGTGATAGTAAAGATTTGAGTGTTATGCACATATAAATTTGTAGGTGTTAGATATGTCACGATCTGGCACGGGGCTTAGAATTAACAAAAACGGACACAGACGGTCGGACAGTATGAATGAAAAATTTTGTTATTTATTCTCTATAACTTGTTATTAACACATGAAAGAGTCACTAATCCATTTAATTAAAGCAATATATTTCAATTTACCTCGTTGACAGTTGTCCGCGTCTTCTATACACGTTTTTTTTTTCTATAACTCATCTTTTAAATCACTTAAAATTTACTTGAAAAGTTAGTTTAAAAATAACGATGAGTTAAACAAGCCAGTGAATACTTATATTACCAAACTACAACAATACAAAGAAAAAAAAACAATATGAATGTCAGTTAATTTTAATATATGAGTTACATAAAAACATATAAAGGAATCAAGCTAGCTCGGTCAATTCAAGATCATAATATGGTCTAATGAGCCTGCTTGACTATTAAGTTCAATGGGTTATTGGTCTAAAATAAGGTCCACTTAAGGCACATAAGGACTACTTGAACTAATGAATGACGTAAACTAGGACCCCTTCACAGAGCACATGCTACATTGATGTCATTTGAGGCTAGCCATTGTACTGAGTCAACGAGCACATAACATTAAAGCATCTTACTGGTATTTCACAGCAACACTATGCATATGACTACATTTGTTCGAACATGGGATCTCAATGGGTAAGTTAGGTTTGACCATAAGTTGATGATAAATCAACAAAAGCATGAGTTATTGAAAAGTTGTGAGCCAAATTGATATTGAACAAATGAATAGGACCAAACAACAAGTCGCTCCAATTTAATAATTCCACTTTGATTATCTTTAATTTTTTTGTAAGAATTAGATTTAAATATTATATCATTGTAAAGCAAGTAAGAAATGCCATTCTCATGTTCTAATAGGTAATCAAAACTATAAATATTATATCTAACTCTTTGCAGCTACATTCCAACTTTTATTCTCTGAGTCCTCCACAAGTACCCATACCTAGTTTCATTAAAAAATTCTACTTAATCGTCAAGCAAAGGGAAGGGTAACCCTGAAAACCATCACTACAAGTTGGTCCGATAACCTGCAGCAAACCAAGTATTCCGAGCATATTATATTCCATTGATCAGAAATTAAGCCATCAATTCAGTTATCATGAAATTAAATGTTTGATTGCGTTTTCTTACAGGTGCTACTTATAATATTCGAAACTTAAATCGCTACTAAATTAAGGAAACAAGGGACCATAGAGATGAACTGGTTTCTAGCATTTTAGGTAGATGTGTTTTCTTATTAATTTGGTTTGTGCGTATTTTATAGAATCCAGGATGTTGTTTTAGTCACACGTATATTCATGGCAAGGGCATTTTATTAGGAGTATTTAGGTCACTTATTAGCACAAATCACAACCTAAACCTTGAAAGGACCAAACCAACCTAAACCTTGAAAGAACCGAACCGATCAACATGCTAACTACCAAAGAAATTAGAAAGACTAAGAAGTGAAGCAAGAAAGTGCGTATAGCACAGCGCACAAAATATTAAGTTTTATATATGAAAAAAGCTTAATAACTGAAAAAAAGTACCTTGGCATCAACAGATGTTCCCGCAATAACATCAACCATTGGTCGTGAATTATTAGGTCTTCGGTTGGGTTGGCTAACTGTGGTAGCAGGTAAACGTCTATTTTGCAGCTTTTTGCCACGAAGAGGTGAATGACTGTCTTGAATTTCACGGAACAGTTGTGTGGTTGCTTCCCGGGCCAACTTAGTAACAAGTGAAAACTTCTCCAAAACTTGAACTGAGATATCATAAGGAGGATCATGAACCATGGACTTCTTCTTTCCGTTATATTTAGGAGCAGAAATGCCACCAGAAGCAATGCCATTTGCCCTAGTAGAGCTATCAGTTGCAGAAGCTGTACTTGGTGAATGGTGAAACCTTGCCCCATTTGCAGCTGAAAGAACCCTTGGTAGCTCCAGAGACGACAGGCTTTTCTGTAAGAATGTTAAAAAAAAATTACAATAAAGATAACTGAAATTTCTCATTTTCTGAGGCGCTAATTTTGACTGGAGAGCTCATCAGTCAAAGAACTTTAGCTAAATACATATGACTGAGTGGAAAGATTTTTAAAGCAAGCATCTTATTTATGTTCATTGTTCAACAAGGGGGGCAGAAAACAGAAAAAAAGCCTCATGTATCGTTAATGATTCACAGAAAGTATCCCAAATAATTAGGAAAAAGATAAGCGTGGCTGATACTCTAAAAACTATTTTAATCATGCACATATCTCGAAAGATTTCAAATAATAAACATTCTAGACAATTTCAAGATCATCCAGGGCCCGGATTCCAGCAAGCTTATAGTCAAACTGACCATCTCGACAATGTGAGCCCAGTGAATCCTGATTTCATTCGAGTCTGATCAAGCCCAGATCAAGTCATTTAAGCATAATTGGAGGCATTGAATGCGCAATTAAATGATCAGATGGATCTCAAATCTGTCAAAGCTTATAATCAAATTAAGCATCTAGTCAAGCAGAATCCGAGCCCAATATCACTCAAATACTCATAAAACATCATCCGATCAAGAGATGGCTCTGGGTCATCCGATGGAGTGACCAGATTCATGCAATAATTACAGAGGATGTCACTCAGAAAAATCTATAAATATACCCCTCTTTTTATGAAGGGGGCTTGGAATTGGAAGATAAAGCTAAAAATGCTCTAAGAAATTGAGGGTTCCTAAGCTCCACCACCGTGGACCAGGCTGACTAGCTACAACCATTGTCGCTACTACCTTGCCATCGTTGTCGAGCCGCAGCCAACTCAGCTGGACTACTGCTTTCCGACCACCTCTATTAAGCTGCCGCCACTATTGTATTATCGTCTCTACTGCTCAAACACCATTGTTGAGTCATAGCCACTGCCAGACCACCATTACCTGGCCGACATTGCCACTATCCAAACATAATTGCCAAGCCGTCGTCACCCCCGACCACTGTCGTTTAGTTGCCTCCACCACTAGACCATCTTAGTATGACCGTCGACGCTGCCTAATTACCGCTGCCCAAACACTATCGTCTAGCTATCATCGTCGTTGCCGCCGAACCGCAGTTGATTGGTCACCGCCGTTTGACCGTCACTGCTATAGGATCAACCCTGCCCAACCAACACTGTTGAGCTGTCGCCATCACCGAACCGCAGTTGCCTAACCACCAAGGCCTAGCTGCCGCCATCACCGAACCACCGTCATCACCACTTGATCATCATCGTTTGACCAGTGCCATCATCAGACACCGTTGTCTAACCTCCACTACTGCTAGCGTCGAACCACCGTCATCACAGTTGGACTATTGTTATCGCCACCGCCAGACCTCTACTAACCGACCATCACCATTGTCGTCGCTACAACCAATATTGGCATCATACTTTATGGCACTCGACCTCTACATTCTCTTTTCTTCACAGCTGCCAGGTTGCCATCACTTTCTTAGTGTTTTTTGCCACTTACTTGCTTCCGCTTATTCAAGAGTTGGTAAAGCCTTGTAAACTACATCGGAATAGTAAAATAATTTCAACTAGGTTAGGCTCCATGGTTTTTGGCCCTTCGGATTTTCCATGTAAAAACACTTGATGCCTTTTCTGTCAATTTTTTTGCCTCTTTGTGTGTGTCAGATCTTCATACAACACTAAGATGTTAATATATCACTCTACCACCGTGAATTTACCAACACACAATAATGACAATGATGATCTTATACATATTCTGAAAGTGTTGAAGACTTTATTTAAAAGAAACATGGAGGGCAGATCATATGTTTAGAAGAAATAAAGTTGTGTTTTATAAAAATATAATAAAGAAATCTTATCCTCTCCATATATGGAATGAATTTCAACTATAACAAAAAGTTTATAGATTATCTAAAATTACAAAATTGTTGCCATGAATAGCAAAATAAGCGAAGAGAATAACATAGATTTATGTGAAGGAACAAAGATAGGGAAAACCAAGAGCAAATGAAGGAAAATTCATCATACTCGAAGAACTTACAAAGTGAAAACTTAGAGTTCATTGACGCGGCCAACCTTCTTCAATTGCCAATCCCTAGTAAAAATAAATATCTGGATTTGGGCTGATACAATCCCTCAGCTATAACCATGAAACTCCCAAGAAAATTTTCCCAATTAAAAGTTTCCCATAATTTTAATTGCACCTCATGTCATAACCACAAACTTTTCAATCCAAGCCCAATAGAATTCAGGTCACAAATTTTCACATTAAAAGAATCCAAGTTTTCAATTTATGTTGTTAGTTAAAATTGAACTAAATTAAATGCTATTTAGAATCTACCTACTAGAGAATGAATATAATATGGCATATTATAGATGTAAGGCATAACTAAGAAAAAAGAATTGATAGTATGTTAATGTTATGATGAGCTTGAAAGTGAAAGACAAGTTAAAAGCAAGGATGAATGAGATAATGTAGATAGAGAGTTAGAGCTCCAAAAATTAAATAATGATAAGATCTTAATACCTAAAATCATACATAAAATCATATTAAAACTAAGAAGAGTTGTATGAAAAAGATCAATTATTGAAGACGCCAAATGAATATGCCTTAAATTAATCAAATGTTTTGATATGAAGGATGATGAGTCATAATTGTTATATTTTCATGGAGTGTTACATCCAAATTTTTTATTGTACTACAAATAAATTGAAATCCAGTAATTGAAATAAACAATTTTTTAAGAATGTTTATGCACAATTAAGAGAAAATTCCTTATTATAGATTGATTTAAAAATTTTAATTATATTATGAAAATTCAAAAGAATATTTCTATCTAATTTCTTCAAGTTAATGGAGCACTTGCATGTATGCTTGTCATATGAGGCAAGAGTTGATAGCCCATTTCAATATCATTTGATGTGCTCATTTGTCAGGAAAAATAAATCATATTAGCTTGGTTCTGAAAATGCATTATATGCAATGTATCTAATATGATTAAATATAACACTAAATTTTTAAATAAAATCAAAAGAGCTACTAAAAATCAAACACTTGCAGACGACTTTTTTTACAAGGCATAACTAGCATAGAAGACCTGTTATTTTGTTGTCAGTTCTTCAAATCGGGCATAAAGTCTAGCCAAAATAAAGTAAATCATAATAATGGGGGCAATGTAGATCAAATAATTCAACAATCATCCCTATATATTTGTAAATTTTTAGGTAGAGCATTCAATGAATGTGTATTATGGTACTTGAGATTTTTTAAAGACACTCATAACATTTTTTAGGTGTTTTGAGTGTTTTAAAAAAAAACGTTATTTATTTTAAAAATTAAAATCAAAAACATATAAAAAATATACTAACAAAAAATGCTTTAAAAAATAAAAGTTAAAAAAATAACATAAAATAAAAGTGATACCAAATGGGCCCTTAGTAAATGAAAACATATGTAAAACAAGCTTTTGGATTGAAGGTAAGAAAGTAAATATTATCACATCCTAAAAAACTACACAAATAACTACAACGAAATTATTCAAAAAAATAATATAGCCAAAATATTCTATTGAGCATGCCAAAAGTTTTTTTTCTTTTTAGTTGTGAATGATTTCACCACATATCAAAATGATGCATAAGACTACATAAGCTAGGGAGATACGATGGAATTAAGAAAATGCAAAGTTTAATACTCTCATTCTTGCACAACAAATAATTCAGGTGTACTATGCCAACTGATCTGAAAGAATAAGAGACAAATTAGGCTGGTCAATAATTATTAAGAATAGGTCCAGAGGTATTATTGGTGATAAACAGACCTAAGAGATGGTTTATCAAGAAGAAGACATATCAAAATATAAACAACCTTTTACTGAATAGACCCAGTAGCTAACTTTCGCATTGTTAATTGAAATATTAAATGGTTGGTGTATTTTTCAAGGAAATTACAAAGAATGGTGAAGATGAACATAGAGGAAAATTTATAAAATTGACATTTTCCAAGTGTTGCAAAAAGATTCATGCCACCAGTATAACCACAACTATGTCACGTGTACCACACCACCAGTTATCCCTACTCATTGGATGACATACAACTCCATTTCATCCACCACCATTTTTCATAGATTATCTACATACTAACATCCTATATATGCTACGTAGCGAGGCTAGTAGGCTACTACCTCCCATCACTTTAGTACGTCAAATAGTCAAGTTACCCTAACCCTTCTAATTACCATACTTCTTATAGGCCTCATGATCAAGCAGCTAGCTACCCAGCCTACTCCAAAGAAGTGCAGACCTGTTGAACACAATCTGTTTATTAAGCCATGCGATGACACAAAATTTTTAAATATGATTGGCTTCACACTATTAGTTCTATATTTTTTTAGTTTATTAAATTACTACTCTTGAACACAGATTTAACCCACCTCAATAGACAATATATAAAACTATCGACAAGGAGAAAGTTTGGTGTGCCATATGTATCATGGAAGATGTCCTTAGGAGTTAAAGATACTTGATTTCACGAGTTTGAATAATGAATTTCGCATTTTTATTAAAAATATCTATAAATTTAAGATGAAAAAATTTTATTTTATTATTACGAAAAAGATTTATTAGCTTTCCTAGTGTCATTATCAAAAGGTGGAACTAGTATTATATTTTAGGGTGGGCAAAGTTACTAAATTTCTAATTTTTTAAGTATTTGGCAAAAATATATAAAGAGAGCAAAATTACTAAATTGTCTAAACTATATAATGAAAAAAACATTAAATTTTAATATTTATATAGAGAAATTGTAAATTCCAGAGGAGACGATTGCCTACCCTTGACGTAACATGGTTCTGCACCTATTGATGATCACATAAGAAAGTACTTTAAGTGAAGAGGCTTATGATGTAAAATTGAAATGTGATCTTCCATGTTTTGTTTTAATTCAATGTTTTGCGCTTTTGGAATGTGTCTGTGATTTATTTTAGAAG